GCAAAGTCCGCATGCGTTTCCCCTACCCAGCACAACGTTTCGCGGTCCATCGGGAACCCCACCGAAGGCCACACTGGCAAAGTCCGCATGCGTTCCCCCGCCCAGCACAACGTTTCGCGGTCCATCGGGAACCCCACCGAAGGCCACAATTGCAAAGTCCGCATGCGCTCCCCCACCCAGTGCAGCGTTTCGTGGCCCATAGAGAGCTCTACCGAAGGCCACAGTGGCAAACTTCGCATGCGTTTCCCCAACCCCAATACAGCGCTTCGTGCCCACATAGGGAGCCCCACCGACGGCCCCAGTGCCACCTCCCGCATGCGTCCCGCACACCCGGCTTAACGTTTCGTGGCCCATAGGGAGCTCCACCGAAGGCCCCTGTGGCAAAGTCCGCATGCGTCTCCCCAACCCAGCACAACGTTTCGTGGCCCATAGGGAGCTCCAACGAAGGCCACAATTGCAAAGTCCGCATGCGTCTCCCCCACCTGGTGCATCGTTTCGTGGCACAGGGAGCTCCACCGAAGGCCCCAGTGGCAAACTTCGCAAGCGTTTCCCCAACCCAGTGCAGCGCTTCGTGGCCCCATCGGGAGCTCCACCGAATACGATACCCATAATTGCGGTACTCACAACTAAATATGGTTGGGTCCTTCGCCAGGTTGATTGTTGTTCGCTTCGGGGTGAATCTAAGTCGTGGTGGCCTCGTGGGCCCCCTATCTCTGCCAGGGGCGCTGCCGATGCCGAGGCGGCTCCACCGCGCCCAGCCCCAGGTGGAGATCAGAGGTGGAAAACGTCATATGTTATGTCCTGCCCCTCCCTCCCATCCCTTTCCATTGCGTAGATCTATCTAGTCGCACAGTCGAATGTCGAACACGGCACTAATCCCGAGAGAGTCGGCGACGCATAGTAGCGCACGACATAGCGTGGCATCGCGTCGAGAACGCGACTCACTTTGACAAAAAGGCCAGAGGGAAACCAGAAACGACACAAGACGGGAAATGCAAATGAACAGTTTGGAAAGCGGGACGTGCAACCTGAGATCGGCGTTGCAGCGTGAACACGATTTCGAAGGATCGAAACCGTGGAAATGAGACCAGTGCTGCAGTGGGAGCAAGAACGTTGCAGCAGGACCACGATTTGGAACAGCCGAAACAATGACATGGAGCCAGCGCAACAGCGGGAACATGATCTGGAAGGACTGAACGGGAAAATAGAGGCCACGCTGTAGCGGGAGCGCCATTCTGAAAAGATTGAAAACGCTCGGATGGAAGCGCCTACTGAGTATCAATTCGACGGCATCCAGTGTGGAAAAAGAATACGGTGAGGATGCCAGGACACCTCACGGCCGTCTTGCAGGGGAGAGAGAAGAGTAGTATTCATAGTGTGAAAATGTAGAGGAGGAAGCGGGGACGGTGGGGTGAGGAGCACCCTAGCTAGTCTCATCTCAAACATGGCTTCAAAGCGGAGGAGGTCACCGAAGATGACCTACTTCATTGCCCCTTCCGATAGTCAGGGGACTTACATGTCATACCGCGGCTCCTGTTGGAGTTTGTCTTATTGGAGACGTCGGCTGGGTGGCTGGGTTCTACTAGCCCTTGCACCTCGACTCCTTCTGAGTGACTACCACAGGCACGGCAGATATTTAGGATGCCAGCGGGGTGTTCTGTCACATACTATGCGTGGCCGCGTCGATTATGACAGAGGCTGCGCAACATAGGATAGGCCCAATGGCTCCCCTCGTCAGGCGGGGGGGGGATGCCTGAGGCCACTCAGAGGGGCAATACATTTTCTTCTGCCAAGGAAATTCTTTACGCTTCGCGTATCCCCACCAGCCCATCTCACAGCAGCAACTCTCGCGAAGCAGGCCGACAGTCGTGTTTTTCAGGCGTGTGTCCGCTTGGCCCCGCATATCTCCCCTGTTCCTCCTTCCTCCCGCCTCCTTGTACATCCTCCTTGTGGGGGGAGCGGGAGAAGGACGAGGCGGAGGAGGAGGGAGAGAAAGCGCTCCTCGTGGTTTGAGTCGTTTGGGGTTTCTCGTCCTGGTGTGAGTCGTTCGGGCCCTTCTTCCTGGTGTGAGTCGTTCGGGCTCTTCGTGGTGTGAGTCGTTCGGGCTCTTCGTCCTGGTGTGAGTCGTTCGGGCTTCTCGTGGTGTGAGTTGTTCGGGCCCCTCGTCCTGGTGTGAGTCGTTCGGGCCCCTCCTCCTGGTGTGACTCGTTCGGGCCCGCGTCGTGGTGTGAGTCGTTCGGGCTCCTCGTGGTGTGAGTCGTTCGGGCGCCTCGTCCTGGTGTGAGTCGTTCGGGCCCCTCCTTGTGGTGTGAGTCGTTCGGGCTCTGCGTGGTGTGAGTCGTTCGGGCCCCTCGTCCTGGTGTGAGTCGTTCGGGCTCCTCGTGGGGCCTCTGAAGGGCCTCTTGGAGCCTCTTGGGGCCTCTTGGAGGCCTCTTGGGGCCTCTTGGGGGCCTCTTGGGAGCCTCTTGGGGCCTCTTGGGGCCTCTTGGGGGCCTCTTGGGGACCTCTTGGAGGCCTCTTGGGGCCTCTTGGGGGCCTCTTGGGGGCCTCTTGGAAGCCTCTTGGGAGGCTCCTGGGGGCCTCTTGGGGCCATCTTGGGGCCTCTTGCGACCTCCTCTGAAGCGCAAAGGAGCGCTGCCCCCTGAGAAGGACAACATGAGCCTAAAACCTTAGTAAAATCAATGATTTTACTATGAAGGAAGATGAGCGCGTCCCCCTCAGGAGGCCCAAATGGGGCCAAAACCGTAGTACAATCAATGATTTTGGCTTCAAAGAAGAGGAGAGGGGCCAAACTCGGCCCCCCCGTCGGGGCCACAATCCTCGTGAGGGTAGTCGTTTTTTTACCCTCCCAGGAGTCGAAAAAGACCACCCTGGCGACCCGCGGGAGCCCCTCTCCAGTCCCAGGGGGAGGGGGTAGGGGGAGGGGTAAACCCGTCCCCGAAGGGGAAGAAGGGGGTTGAGAACAGAGCGGGCTCTCTAAACCACTCACGCCCAAAGGGCTGGTGGGACTTGCAGGTTTGCAGTGCCACGGGAGGGCCTCCAGAGATAATGCGAGAGTTCGCGTCTGTGTGCGTTGCAGATATGTGAGTCGTTCCAGCTCTTCGTGGTGTGAGTCGTTGGGGCCCCTCGTCCTTCCTTGTGTGACTCCTTCGGGTCCCTCATTCTGTGTGAGTCGTTCGGGCTCCTCGTGGTATGAGTCCCCTCCTTGTGTGTGAGTCGGCCGGGCCCCTCCTCCTGGTGTAACTCGTTCGGGCTTCCCGTGGTGTGAGTCGTTGGGGGCCCGCGTCGTGGTGTGAGTCGTTCGGGCTCCTCGTGGTGTGAGTCGTTGGGGCGCCTCGTCCTGGTGTGAGTCGTTCGGGCCCTTCCTTGTGGTGTGAGTCGTTCGGGCTCTTCGTGGTGTGAGTCGTCGGGGCCCCTCGTCCTGGTGTGAGTCGTTCGGGCTCCTCGTGGGGTCTCTTGGGAGCATCTTGGAGCCTCTTGGGGCCTCTTGGGCGCCTCTTGGGGGCCTCTTGGGGGCCTCTTGGGGGCCTCTTGGAGCTTCTTGGGGCCTCTTGGGGGCCTCTTGGGGGCCTCTTGGTGACCTCTTGGGGCCTCTTGGGAGCCTCCTGGGGGCCTCTTGGGGGCAATCTTGGGGCCTCTTGCGACCTCCTCAGAAGCAGAAATGAGCGCTGCTCCCTGAGAAGGATAAAATGAGGCCACAACCTTTCTGTAAAATCAATGATTTTGCTATGAAGGAAGATGAGCGCGGCCCCCTTCAGAAGGCCAACATGGGGCCAAAACCGTAGTAAAATCAATGTTTTTGGCTTCAAAGACGAGTTGAGGGGCCAAACTACCCCCCCCCCTCGGGACCAGAATCCTCGTGAGGGTAGTCGTTGTTTGGCCCTCCCAGGAGTCGAAAAAGACCCCCTTGCCACCACTCGGCCCGCCCTCTCCAGGTCCAGGGGAGGGGGTAGGGGGAGGGGTAAACCCCTCCCCGAAGGGGAAGATAGGGGGTTAGGAGGTTGAGAACAGAGCGGGCTCTCTAAACCACTCACGCCCAAAGGGCTGGTGGGATTCAAGCATGGATTCAGGCAGGTGGATTAGCGACGAGTTCCATTTTCGATTTGTCGTACGCACTGTATCGTACATGCATGCACTGGGCTCTTCAGCTTTACAACACAGTCGCGTTCATTGGTTTTGTGCATGGGCCGGACTCGCAATGTTTCACCGACTGCGGGCAGTTTCACCACGCAGCTTGCGCTCCACAGGTATCCATGATTGACTCTATGAGTGGCCGCCAGGAAACCAACCTAGTGCAGGCTACGTGGAAGCCCCGCCGCAACGTTGAATGGGAGGTTCTGGCAGGGCCGCGGATGCCCATCAAGGCATGCGTGCCCCTTGTCCCGCCCCCCTTCCCCCGCCCCAATGCCTTGACCCCTTCGCCCAGCCATGCGCGCTCGCCTCCGTGCTACCTGGGTTTAGTTGTGCCGATCGCGCTCGGCGCATCACTCGCCCTCCCGTCCGTCTTGCCAACCTGTCTTGCCAATCCATGCGCAAAGTGTTTTGAACCACTGGCAAAGGACAACGTGGATTAACAGAACGGCCCTTGGGACCAAGCAAACATCATTGTGATGCTCTCGACGGGTGCCTGGGGCCATGTGTTCTTGACTTTCCAGCGATAACTGCATGAGGCCTATGTAGCATAGTCACTCTTGCCCATCGCCACGTGGCGACATCTTCTTGCCTAGGGTGAACCAGGCGCACACCTTTGTACGCGGGGGGCGGGAACCACACACGGAGCATTCCTGAGGCGTACACCGCGAAAACACGAAAGCACACCGCGAGGTAGCGGTATCGACTGGGTCCTCAGGGAACCTCCAAATTTTGAACCAACCCGGAACAATGATTCAGAGGATGGAGAAGAAAGGACAGGATGAGGAGGGAGGAGGATAGCGTGGAGTAGGAAGGAGGTGGCAGCATAGTTCCGACGTCGGCGCGGCAGGGCGGGCGGACCCCGCCAGGACCGGGACGCCATGGACGAAGACGCTGGCGCGCCCCTCGGCAAGAAGGGCGCGAGGCGGGCGGGCCTCGCGCCTCACCCCCCGCGCTTCGCATATCCCCGCGCATATCCCCGGGATCCCCGCCCATCCAGCCACGATACTCTGGCGAGTTGGTTTGGGCGCATGAGTTCTTCATGGTTTCCTGGGGCAGGAGGGCTTGTGGGCCCATGGGGAAGTGGGACGTCCCAAAGGCCCAGAGATCCTCATGGGGCTCTTTTGAGGTGGCCCCTTGGGTGCCTCTCGGGAGCCCTGGAGGGCCTCTTGGGGCCATCCTCTAGGCTCTAGGGTGTCGATCAAAATTGGAGGGGGGTCGAGTTCGGTCCACCCTCAGAGACCCTCGACATCGCCTCTTGGGCGCGCTTGGGTCCGTATTGGCGCCTTCTTGGGCCATTCTTGGAGCTGTCTTGGGTCATCGTTGGGCCATCTGGAGGCTTCAAAAGCCCATCGGAAGCGAGAGGCGTCAAGGCAACAATCGCTGTCTCCCAACCATCCTGAGGCGTTGGGTCTTCGTTTTGAAGAGATAGCGCCCCGCGTCACTCCTCTCCTCCCCCTCCTCCCTCCTCCCTCCTCCATTGCCATCATCACCCGTTTCAGCACACCCCTCACACGTTTCGTGGCCCCGTAGGGAGCTCCACCGAAGGCCCCAATGGGACCGCCCGCAGGCGTCACGCACCACGCAGTACAGCGATTCGTGGCCCCATAGGGAGCTCCACCGAATTTTTCAGCGGGACCGCCCGCATGCGTCACGCACCACCCAGTACGGCGCTTCGTGGCCCCATAGGAACTCCACCGAAGGCCCAAATGGGACCGCCCGCATGCGTCACGCACCACCCAGTACATTGTTTCGTGGCCCCATAGGGAGCTCCACCGAAAGCCCCAGTGGCACCGCCCGCATGCGACACGGACCACCCTGTGCAGCGCTTCGTGACCCCATAGGAAGCTCCACAGACGGCCCCAGTGCCACCGCCACGCACCACCCAGTACAGCGCTTCGTGGCCCCATAGGGAGCTCATCAGACGGCCCCAGTGGCACCGCCCGCATGCGTCACTCACCACCCAGTACATCGCTTCGTGGCCCCATAGGGAGCTCCACCGAAAGCCCCAGTGGCACCGCCCGCATGCGTCACGCACCACCCACCCAGTGCAGCGCTTCGTCGCCCCAGAGGGAACTCCAGCGACGGCCCCAGTGCCACCGCCCGCATGCGCCACGCACCACCCAGTACAGCGCTTCGTGGCCCCATAGGGAGCTCCACAGACGGCCCCAGTGGCAACGCCCGCGTGCGCCACGCACCACCCAGTACAGCGCTTCGTGGTCCTATACGGAGCTCCGCGGAAAGAGTCAGTGGGACCGCCCGTATGCGTCACGCACCACCCAGTGCTGTTTCGTGGCCCATAAGGAGCTCCACAGACGGCCCCAGTGGCACCACCCGCATGCGCCACGCACCACCCAGCACAGCTCTTCGTGGCCCCATAGGAAGCCCCACCGACGGCCCCAGTGGGACCGCTTGCGTGCGCCACGCACCACCCAGTGCAGCGCTTCGTGGCCCCATAGGGAGCTCCACCGAAGGTTCCAATGGGACCGTCTGGATGCGTCGCCCCCAGCGCTTTGTGGCCCCATAGGGAGCCCCACCGAAGGTCCCAGTGGGACCGCCCGCATGCGTCCCGCACACCCAGTACAGCGTTCCGTGGCCCCATGGGGAGCCCCACCGACGGCCCCAGCGGCACCGCCCGCATGCGTCCCGCACACCCAGTACAGCGCTTCGTGGCTCCATAGGGAGCCCCACCGATTCGGCCACAAGAAGATGATGAAGCACATCTTCAGGATCAACCCTCTGTACGTCGGCCCGATGCACTCGGTTGTGGTGACGTTTAGCTTTTGAGGGGTTCGACGCGAAGCTCCAAAATGATTGTGGTGATGACTGGGAGTATCTTATGTTTCAGTATTATCACAGCTATTTGCATAGCATCAGTGCTTGGTTGCATGCCGACAAATACGATGACAGTCTCAGTGGAGTCCGTTTCGGCCGCCGACGGATGAGGCGACTTCTACTCTATGACTGGGCGCTACCTTGTAGTGTCTGGAACAAACGGCAGCATGCTCTTCATGGCAATGGGCCTACCCAGAAGAAAACGGTGGCAAAAGTGTTGGCACGATTGACACCTGCCAAAGCTCAAACAAGAGTACGTGCGGTCCTCGAACTTCAGATCGACCACACTGCCCGGCAAGTATACGGTCATCTCAAGAAGTTCTCGGTGGATAGGATGGGGGCGATTGCAGCTTTGCCCGCCGCCGAGATCACCAAGGCCATCGACGTTCGGCCTCTTCAGCAGTCAAGAACGTCGAGAAGGCCGCAACAAAGATGAAGAAGAAGAAAAAGAAAACATACCCACAACCAGCAGGACGGCAGGCCACCCCCGAGCTGGATCCCGACGATTTGGATATTCCAGTATGCAGAGGCCTGCCAACAGATTTCAATAACATGAAGGCAGTGCATCTGGTCACGGTTGCCGAGTTGCTGGAGCTTACTAAGCTCGACAGTTTCTGGCAGAGGCCCGACCCACCAGACCCCTTCGGCTCCGTGCTTGCGCGGGCGCCGTCACAGGTGCCTAAAGGTTTGTACCTCGCATGTGGCCAACGTGGACTTGCGTCGACTACCAGTCTTATGCATCCACCTCTTCTTGAAAGTGATGGCCGACGCGCCATCAAGCAGTTGTATGCGCGGCAACAGGGTGGGAAGCAAAATGAAGTTGTTGCCCCCCCCCCAAAAAAAAAACGAAACAAAAAAAAAATAAGAAGGAGCCCGCAACGACCACCTGCTCTCAGGACGAGCTCATGAATGTTGCAATTCTCGAGGCTCTCACTGCTCGGAGAAGTTGTTCAAATATCTGCATGCATTACACAGACAGGCGACAGCAGCACGTGACCGACGCGCCGAAGGATCGCCTGGGCAGCGCAACTATGAATCACCTCCTCCATGGCGTGTTCTGGACAGTGAACTGGCGAGCATCGCGATGGCGAAGCTCCCAGTGCCAGTTCATGGTTCAGATATCGATTTGCGCGTGTGGAGTGGCAGAGTTTTCAATGATGGTCAGCCTGGTCAGAGAATAATATCAGGTTTGTTCAAAACTACCTCAGAGCGGGCTCGAGCATTGCGAGTTGAATCTGGACCAGATGGCATCATATTCCAGCGATCTCGCGCAGGCGGCGCCCGCAACCAAGCACTGGACGAGGAGAAGAACTCAGAGGATTTCGTGCCCATAACACGCAGCGCGACCGCGACGGGCGCAATTGCCCAGACAGCAGCATTGGAGGGAGGCCGAGGCTTGGGATACAAAGCCAATGGCGCCCTCTTCTTTCGAGTCTGCAAGCCGCAGGCACAGGCGGCATGGCAGGCCCTTCAACTGCGTGCACCACCTGCGCCTACGCTCTATGAGATTTCACCTCTCCCGCAGCCGGTGGAAGGAAAGCAATTGGTCAGCCAATGTGTCGCAGCAACTGGGATGGGAAGCGGGATTTGTCAGTCTACGAGAGAAAGGCAAAGGATCACGATCGACTCCTGTTATCCGCGTGCGTGCTGCAGGGCCACCACAGGTTTCAGACTTGCTCCTGGGCGATATCCAAGCTACGATCAACGCAGCGAAGAAATCAGAGGCCCCAGCACCAGAAGAGGCGAAGAGCGAGCACCAGCCCAGCAAGCAGCAGCAAGCACCATCCTCACAGCGCAACTTACGCGACCAGCACGACAAGCAGCACCAGCACGAGCACAACAGCCACAAGAGCAACCACCACCACCGACACCGGCGTCGTCAGCAGGCAGTGGGCTCTCCAGCGGACTTCCAAAAGTTCATCACGGATGCTATTGGTGCGGCTGTGGCAGAACAAAACAAACAGATCATGGCGCAGCTCCAGATTCAGGGGCAAGGCCTTTCAAAGTGCTCGACTCCATTACGTGCAGGTACTAATGTTCTCACGGAGGAGGAGAAGAAAGATGACGGGGACTAGGGGCGCCTGGCAAAGCGACTCAAGGAAACCTCGGAGGCTTCCCTTATGCAAGTTGACCCGCCGCAGTGATGTCCCCCAGACGACTGCGAGGCAAACGGCCTGCTTGCAGGCCAGGGCCATCCCCTACTGCGAGGATGGCTACAATACTTTCTGCAAATATTTCCAGCTGGAATACTTTCAGTGGAAGAATGTCACGTATGTCGGCAGATGTCTTGGCCTTGCAAGAGACAAGACTCAGCCTGCGAGAACAACTTGGATGTGACAAAGCGTGTGCTGCAGTACGCTATCGAGCCAGCTTTGGGCTACCTGAACTTGCTCAGGTTCGTCACGGGCAAAAGGCATCGCGAAGTGCGCAGGGTGGAGTTGCTATTCTTACCAAACACGACGTGGTGGCTATTGATTGTGGGAAAAGATATGGCGCTGCTCGTGAACTCTACCAAACTACGAGGTGGTTGAGGCAGTTGGTTCTTATTGGTGGTACTCCTATCCATATTGTATCTTTGTATAATGAATATGGCAATGATGCATCGACCAGGACGCGCAATAACACAACACTTCAGTATGCCTTCGAGGATGCTGAATCGCTTGGTGGCCGGGCGGTGTTTCTGTGCGTGGATTCTAACACGACTATCACCCAATCATCGATGTTCTCAGCTGCCCTAGCAACAGGGCGTTGACATGATATTGGAGCTATCTATGGCAGTGAACCGACAGTTGGGCAGGATCCGAGTTGGGGCAAGTTCTCGCCAGGAACGAATGTCAGTCGACCAGACTTGATCATTGCCAACGCAGCCGCACGAGAAGTTATTCATTCTTTTCGGCTTCGACGTGACCTGGGGATCTGCTCGCATCTCGGCTTGGAGCTCACCATCAATGCGACGCAACTTGAGGAGAGCTGGCAAAGACTACGGCTACCACTCGCTTACCCCATTGAAGCGCTCAAGAAGATCTCCACCGAGGAAAACGAGAAACTCGGGCAAGAGTGCGTTGAACAGTATTTTGGAACATTCGAACG